CCTCCATGCTAACCCTTATCTTAACCTTAACCCTAACCTTAACCTTGGTCCTAATCCTAACTTTAACCCTGACCCTTAACCCTAACCCTTAACCCTAACCCCTGAACTTTAACCCTAACCCTAACCCTGCCCCTCCATGCTAACCCTTATCTTAACCTTAACCCTAACCTTAACCTTGATCCTAATCCTAACTTTAACCCTGACCCTTAACCCTAACCCTAACCCTTAACCCTAACCCCTGACCTTTAACCCTAACCCTAACCCCTGACCTTTAACCCTAACCCTGACCCTAACCCCTGACCTTTAACCCTAACCCTAACCCTGCCCCTCTGTTCTCAGCCGTGTCGGCCGACGGGGTTCGGATCACCTGGAAGGAAAACTTTGAGGCTCATTACAGCGAGGTGGTGGAACTGGGAAGGTAAGGCCGTTCCTCCCCTGGCCCCGCCCCCTTTCTGTTTAAGCTAACCGGGGGCTAGGGTGCTAACCCCCTCCTGCCCCACAGGGGGCGCTTCTCCGTGGTGAAGCGCTGCGAGCACCGGGGGTCCCGGCGCGCGGTGGCGGTGAAACAGGTGAAGAAGAAGCTAATGCGGCGCGAGCGCGTTAGCGAGGAGCTGCGGCTAATGCGCCGCCTGCAGCACCGAAACATCGCCGCCCTGCTGGACGCCTACGAGACGCACACATGCTACGCACTCGTGCTGGAGATGTGAGTCCGGGACCTGACCCCTGACCTCTGACCCCTGACCTCTGACCCCAGCTCCAGGAGCTGACCCTTGACGACCTAGTGCTTGCTCATGGTGGGAATTGTTGGGTTTCTGTAATTAACTTCAAAGTGGGGTCTGACCTGCTCAGTTCCAGTAGCTGACCCCTGACCCCTAACCCCCGCTCCAGGAGCTGACCCTTGACCCCTGACCCCAGTTCCAGGACCTGACCCCAGCTCCAGGAACTGACCCCTGACCAGAGATGTATAAAGTACTGGAGTAGAGGAGTGGAGTAGAAGTACAAGTACTATATAAAAAAAAGTGTTCTTTCTACACCATACTTACCTTAAGTGGAAACACAGAAGAAAAAAATAATTTTGGAGTTTTTGTTTGAGTATCTGGCAGTTTTGGGTTTTTGGTCTCTTTTTTTTATGATACATTATATTGCACCAAAACATCGCCGCCCTGCTGGACGCCTACGAGACGCACACATGCTACGCACTCGTGCTGGAGATGTGAGTCCGGGACCTGACCTCTGACCCCTGACCCCTGGACTGGGAGAGCTGACCCCTGACCCTTGGCCCCCGCTCCAGGACCTGACCCCTGACCAGAAATGTATAAAGTACTGGAGTAGAAGTACAAGTACTGGAGATGTGAGTCCAGGTCCTGACCCCTGACCCCCGACCTCTGACCCCCGCTCCAAGGATTAAAACACCAGAGGACGTCAACAACTTTGACCCAGAATTGAATTTAATTGACCCCCGCTCCGGGAGCTGACCCATGACCTCTGACCTCTGACCCCCGGACTGGGAGAGCTGACCCCTAACCCCAGCTCCAGGAGCTGACCCCTGACCTCTGACCCCCGGTCTTGGAACTGACCCCTGACCCCCGGTCTGGGAACTGACCCCTGACCTCTGACCCCCGCTCTGGAAGCTGACCCTTGACCTCTGACCCCTGGTCCAGTAGCTGACCCCTAACCCCCGCTACAGGAACTCACCCCTGACCTCTGACCCCCGGTCTTGGAACTAACCCCTGACCCCCGCTCTGGGAGAGCTGAGCTCTGACCCCTAACCCCCTAACTGCCCGTTAAAAGGAAGTTTTTCCTTGCCTGTGTCGCCTAGTGCAGGAAAGGTAAAAACAGAATAACAAACAAAACAGAAGAGCAAAAGAGTGTAAAAAGAAACTATTTAAACTGTAAAAATGAAAGAGAAGAAGAGCAATAGAAGCATTGATTGCTTTGAAGCCAGATGTCTGAGGACACACAAAATAGTGTTTAAAAAAGTAGATTCTGAAATTTCTTAGATGGCGAAAAAGTCTGAATCTTGCCTCTGGGACTCATCTTTAACCAAGAACAGCTGCAGATTGGTGATTTGATTCCATGATATGGATGAAGGCACAGTCTGTACCAGACAAAGACTGTGACACGGCTGTCCACGAAACCGAGTTTGGGATCAGATTCCCCAACAATTCAACATTACAGCATGTAAAACATTAACACCTGATAGGCAGTTTTTCCTTGCCTGTGTCGCCTAGTGCTTGCTCATGGTGGGAATTGTTGGGTTTCTGTAATTAACTTCAGAGTAGGTCTGACCTGTTCTGTTTGGAAAGAGCTGTGAGACAACTGTTGTTGTGATGTGGCACTATAGAAATAACATTGAATTGACTTGAATTGACCCCAGCTCCGGGACCTGACCCTTGACCTCTGACCCCTTGTCCAGGAGCTTACCCATGACTCAACTCAACTCAACTTTATTTATAAAGCGCTTTCAGTCAGCCAAAGCTAAAATCAAAGCGCTGTACAGGACATTTGAGCAGATCATAAAACACAATTATCACCACAACACAAAACAAACGCAAAGATAAAAAACAGAAAAAAACAAAAACAAAACAAAACCAAGTAAGAGAGGGAAATTAAGACAACTACGATAAAGTGGAAGTCTCACTCAACGGCCTGAGAGAAAAAGTGGGTCTTTAAAAGGGTTTTAAAAGAGCTGAGTGTAGGCGCCTGTCTGATAAAAAGGGAAAGCTCGGTCCCGGTGATCTAAGGCAGTGATTCTCAAATGGGGGTACGCGTACCCCTGGGGGTACGTGGAGGTACTGCAGGGGGTACGTGAAGCTTTTCAAAATATATTTTAAAAATCAGTAGGCTCCTCATAATAAGTCTTGGGAGAAATTATTCAGTAAAAAGTTCGATAGAATATAAATGTGTGTTCATGCACTGCATTTTATATTCAGTATTTAGTTTCAATATCCTTTCAAATAAAACGGACCCCCCCGCCAAGTTAGTTTGACCCACGGACCCAGGGCACTTGTCAACGACCTGTCGTTACCATGGTTACGTTTGGCTTTAATAAATAAGACAGTGATTTTACAGCACTGTACCTCTTTTTTCTTCCAAAAATGTTTTGCCCGTGTCAGGGGGTACTTGACTAAAAATATATTTTTAAGGGGGTACGTCACTGAAAAAAGTTTGAGAACCACTGCTCTAAGGGACCTAGCGGGACAGTAATTTTGACCCCTGACCCCCTCCAGTAGCTGACCCCTGACCTCTGACCCCCGCTCCCTTTCAGGGCGGAGCAGGGCCGGCTGCTGGACTACATCGTGAGCTGGGGGAACCTGACGGAGGAGAAGGTGGCCGGATACCTGCGGGACGTTCTGGAAGCTTTACAGTACCTGCACAGCTGCAGGATCGCACACCTGGACGTGAAGGTGAGGAGCCGGGAATACTGACCAGGAACTAAAAGACTAAAGTCTAAAGTTATTTATCTGCTTACTTAGCTGTCAGACTCGTGTTGAACAGGGATTTACTCTGATAACAACTTAATGGTTAGGACACAGACCTGTGGGTTACAGATGCTAATGCTAATGCTAATGCTCTGATAACAACTTAATGGTTAGGACACAGACCTGTGG